AAATTCTTTGAATCTTGAGTGTCCCCTAGAGGCCCATGTGTTAAATGTTTGGTCCCCAGCCTATGATGCTATTTGGGTAAAGGTAGAAACTTTAGGATGTGGGGCCTAATGGAAATAAGTTTGTGGAGTTCACATTAAAGAAAATTGATTGCCATGAGTGACTTCATTTTGTATTGTACTTATGTACATTTTTCTAAAGATAGATCTTGTGAGGAAATAGGGTAAAGTAAAGTCCTAAACAACATGTGCTACACACAGCCAACAATTATCTACAAACAGAACCTTCCAAGAAAACTATGATATCCAGAAGGAAAGTTAATCATTAACAGGAGAAAAACAAGTTGTATTTTTTTAAACATTTTTTAAAATTTTTAATTGTTGATGGACATAATACCTTTATTTTATTTATTTATACAGTGATGATGATTGAACCCAGTACCCCATGTATGTGAGATAAGTGCTGTACCACTGAGCCACAACCCCAGCCCAGCAACTTGTATTTTTATAGTTAAAGTTCCTGCTTGCAGGCATGTAGGATTGCTTGCTGATCATAATAAAAAGATGAGGAGTCCAGCTACTCAATAGCTCTGCTTACTCATGTTTTAAACTACTCCCTGGGTTACTTTTCCTTTATTTCATTCTTCCAGCATTAGTTAAGTCATTGGGTCATGCCCTTGAGTAGGGATATTGGGACCCTAGTCCCTCTTCTTTCTTTCTTCTCTCTATGACTGTCATGAAGTAAACAGGCCTTCTCTGCCATGCATTCCTGCCATGATATATTACTGTGCTCCCACAGGCCTGAAGCAATAGGGCTACCTGATCATGGACTGAAACCTCCAAAACTGTAAGCAAAAATAAACTTTTCCTCCTAATAGGTTGATTTATCTTAGAAATTTGTTATATCCATGGAACGATGACTAATACAAATACTTTTCCTTCTCTCATTGAATTGCTATGGCATCTTTGTTGATATTTAGTTAACTATACACATATGGTCTACTTGTAGACTTTTTAGTCTGTTCCTCTGCTTTATTTGTATGTACTACATATGGGATTTCTATGATACTATAATACATCTTGAAATATAAATATTACAGTCATTTGTCTGTTTCTTTAAATAGCTTGCTAGAATTCTGATATTGATTGCATGTATCAGTAAGGGAAAATGGTTGCAATCTTTGCATTCATAGTTTTTTCATTTGTTGAGGTCTTTTTGATTTCCCTTAATAGTCTTGAAGTTTTTAATATAGAAGTTTTATGCATTTCCCAATTGGTTTATCCTGAAGTGACTGGTTTTTCCCCCTTGTTATTGTTTTATGCTTTTGTTAATGGTAATTGTATAAAATTTTATTTTATCTTTCTTGCAATATTTGCTAATTTCTTAATTTTGAGGTCATTGCTTTCAGGAGACTTAGTTCTTCCAACTCCACCTAAATACATTTCAATTTAGTACTAAACAAAAATAAAAGTCAGTTAAAATAAGTGAATTTTGCAACATTAATTTTAGAACATGCCTATTTTATTAATTAAGGGATATCAGTATTTTCTTTGCTTCATGAATGTTATCCTTGGAACTCCCTGGTATTTGTAAGATTCATTTGGAGTTCTGATAGTATAAGGAAATCCGTGTTTTGTTTTGTTTTATTCCAAGTTCCTCAATTAGATAGTGATTCTTCAGAATACAGAATGCTTTAGATTACACCTGTCTTATTTTACAAATGAATGAATGAAATTGAGATAGCTTTGGGCTCTCAGGAGTGGGTGGTTTGGCTAGTGGGAATTATGGTAGAGAAGGGCAAGGAATAAACTCCCAACAAACAAGAAGAAAATGACAGTGGTCTTTTATGGTGATGTGATCATGAATGATGGAGCCTGCTTCTCATAGGAAGGCTCAAATTTAGAAATAGTAGAAGAAAATTAAATATACACTTTGTGATTGGAAAGTTTTGAAACCTAGGATTAGGGCTTGTTTTCACATTGAGAGGAGAGAATCGTTTCATATTTTTAAACTCAGTGACTTTAAACCACATAAATTTATTCTTTTACAGTTCTGTAGACCAAAGTATGAAATCAGTACAATTGGCCTAGCATCAAGGTATTGGCAGGGCTGTACTCCCTCTGGAGAATATGGAGGAGAATCCATTTCTTGTCTTTCTATCTTCTGGTCACCACTGGCATCCCTTGGTTTGCGGCTGCATTAGTTCATTCTTTTAAGACCAGCACCATCTTTATATCACCTTCTCTGTTAAATCTCCTGACTCTTTCTTACAAGAACACTTCAATTGAATTTAGGGTCCTCCTGGATGATCCAGGATAATCTCTCCATTTCAAAATCTTTAATTTAATTACATCTGCATATTCCTTTTTTTCCTAATGAAGTAACATTTACAGGAACCAGAGCTTTGGACTTGATGTCTTTGGGGGCCATTATCAGCCTACCACAGACTGTATTATTGCTTTTTAGACCTTCACTTTGTTCTGGAACTTGATGTCAAAGCAAAATTAAACTTAAAAACTTTAGTTTCCCAAAGAGCATATTTATTTTCATGCTATAATAGGCATTTTATTGGAATATATCCATTATATGCATGTCATGGAATAATATTGAATTCTAGTAACAAAACAGAATGGACTTGAAAGTCTCAGATGGTGAACTACTTATTTTATTAATAGTCATGAACTTCCAAATTCAGGAATGAGATCATATTTGACTATGAAAGAATTGATATGACTTATAATAAAATTTAGCAATGGTTTTTACTTTGGGGCAGACAGGAACGAATTCCTAGTTTTTTAAGGCTTTCTTGGTCAGGTTGGTGCAAGACCAGGCCTAACAAGTTAACTTTCTATTAGAAATTACCAATTTTTAAATCTGTACTCCTATTTTATAGCTAGAATCTTAGAATGATTTATTTCTCCAAGGCCTTACTTAATGTTTGTGATATATTGAGATTAAAAGTTTCCACATGAATATGTATCTTAACTGTACCATTGTAGCATATTGGAGTGTGTTCCATGTATTAACATTGAATCAAAATAACATCTTCTTATAAAGTATTGGGTCAGCTAGAGAACTTTAATGCAACCAACTCTATTTTGGTTTAGGGATATTGTTTGACTATCCCAACTATAGGGATTGCCAAAACTTTGGTACATAAATAATTTTTATGAACACCATTAAATGAAGATGAAACAATAAAGCCTTAGTTTCCTTTTCTTTTCTCCAGTCATTATATTAATTAGTTTCAATACCTAAATGTTAGTAACTGACAGATTTGGCATAGGGAGAGAGGAAGTTTGTTGAAGCCCTAAAATCAGTCTTTCTCCCGTCTTGTATGTTTATAGTTCTTTTGTGTGGCCAGATATCATGATAATTTTATTCTGCTACTGGGAATCATCAACACTGTGAAATTCACCATAAAAATGATTCTACTATTAAAGACAGTAGTCCATGATATGAAATGAAAACTTTCTGAATTTGAGTTTGAGAATGAAGTCACTTAGCTATGTGGTACTTGAGGTAGCTTACTGAATTACTCTGGGTTAAGCAACTTCAATAAAAAATGACACAGTACTGAAAACTTTTGTGCCGTTTTGTTGTCTGTAAAGCAGTCTGTGAGAGAATTAATATTTTTATTTTTTTATTTTTTAGTTGTAGTTGGACACAATACCTTTATTTATTTATTTATTTATTTATTTAATGTGGTGCTGAAGATTGAACCCAGGACCCCACAGTGTGCCAGGAGAGCGCTCTACCGCTGAATCACAATGCCAGCCCCAGAATTAATATGATTTTACTATTAATTTTGAGTATGTGAACCAACCACATTGATGTTTCATGAAATGGGAATATGACTATTTGGCTTTTCATTTTAAAAATTTGAAAAAAAAATAGAGAAAGAAAAACTTCTATATTCAAAGGAAGTTTCTAAGTTTACTTTTGAAATTAAAATATGTTCTGTAATATATTGAAAAAACCTTTAGACAAATTACTGGTTGAAATTTCTGAATAAGTGGTTTCTTATTTACTTGAAAGTGAAAAAAATTCTATATCTGAATATCTGCTATCCTTAGGTTATTTTAAGTGAAATGTCTGTAAATTTAAATAACATTTGTTTGCTGAGAGACTGCTGAAGACCAAATGATATATTGATTCTTCTGGAAGAACTGTTGCATAAAAAAAGAAGGGACAACAGTAGAGAAAAGAAAGGATAGTGTAAGTGAGGTATCCAGTAAACCACATTTTATTAGCATTTGAGAATTTAGTTGATGCAAAACTTTCTGATTTTGACCAAATAGTATGAAAAAATTATTATATTAAAAACATTGTTGAAAATTTCTTAGTTAGAAAGCTTACATGAGAAATTTCTTTCATGGATTAATTTATATTCAAATGTTTTGAATTTTTAAAAGTTGTTTCTTACAAATCTGGCTCAGAATAACCAAATCATATAACTTTGAATTGGTAACTTTAAAATCTTGAGATTTGAGGAAGAATAGGAAAGATAATTTACTTTTATAATTAGATACATTTTATTTTATGATTGTAGAATTTAATTTCAGAAGAAAAACTTGTAGTCCATTTGTAATGATTACTACAGCCATGCATATTATATAAGGGAAGCTTCATAGTCTGCATAGTTTGTGTTCTTCCTTTTTCATGTCCTGCTTGTCTGCACGTACCTATTTCTATTTGTGTTAGTCATACTCTCTAGGTAAATTGTCCATGAGACCAATGATTCCATGAGCAAATTATCCAGAAAATGCTGTCTTTGCACGTTGTGACAGATCATGTCACTGGTGGATTTATAGCTACTCCAATGGTCTAATTAACCTGGCAGTTGTCTCCTGTGCCCAACACTGTTGTCTCATCGCCTTGCATCTTAGTTTTCAACTTCTTATTACCCCCTTAACTAAGGTTCAGATTTACTTTTTTTTTTTTTTGCCTACCCCACACAACTCTCTCTCTGTTCACTACCCCCTTTATTTTTGATTGGCAGTATCATCCAGATAAACAAAGTACAGATGTGCCAGCAGGAACAGTAGAGGAATGTATACAGAAGTTCATCGAAGTTGATCAGGCATGGAAAATTCTAGGGAATGAAGAGACAAAAAAAGAGTATGACCTGCAGCGGCATGGTAGGTACTTGTGGTGAGGAGCCACAGCCCCTGGGCAACTTTTGAAGCACAGTATGCAGCCTCTCCTGGGGAGCATTTTCCAGCATTTGCACCAAGTTATTGCCACCTTTACTCCCCTAGTCCATCATTGTTTTTAATTATGCCCTGTTCTTAGTAGTGATTATTTTGTGACCATTGAGAAGTTAACTGAATCACAAGGATGTGGCATCTTATGAATCTATGAAATTTACTTTTCATTAACTATTTACATAATTACACATTCCTAATTAATATGTTTTTTATGTTTAAAACTTCTTTTGATTAAGTTTAATTATACTATGGATTAAAATTTTTACTGTAGTGCTCTAGGACTGTATACTGTATAAATAACAATGTAAAAGAAAATGGATAATATCATAAAGCATTCTGCTCTCTTTGGGACCATTTTAGCCTAGGTTACATGATTATCTCCAAGATAAACTATTCCTTATTAGGTTGTTATAAATGATACTTTAGGAATGCACGTTGCCTAAGCAGTTTTTAAAAGTTGTTTCTTTTATGCTTTTTGAAAATAGCTTCTTAAAACAGTGGGCAGGCTGTTGTGAGAAAGAAAGGGAGAAATGTAGGTCAGGTTTGTCACACATAGACTGCAGTTACACGAAGTGATAGGCTGTCTTTCAGCACTGGCCTTGGGACAGGAGTCCCTCAGCCTTCTGTTTGGACCTTCATGCACCCTACATGCTAATGGGGGGAGTCAATAATCAGTTACAGCCTGTGGGGAAAACACTCAATTGCTCTCTCCAATAGCACATCAGGCTCAGCATTGACTGGGATGTGTTGATAAAAGCTGTCTTGTAGTTGATTATTGAATCCTTTCCCATGCCCACACTGGCACACGATCAACCTCACAAAATGATTTTAAGGCTCCTGCTACTGAGGTTATGAAAATTTGATTTGAAATGCAAGGCTTTATTTCCAAACACAGCATTATAGAATAGAGACAATGATAATTTGTAAAACATCCATACTCATTTTCATAGGAAGTTGTACCAATAAAATTAAGTACTTGTTTTAGTGTGGAATACCTTTGCATGAAAAGACTTAACTGATTGTTTGTGTCCTGGAGTGGTAGATTTTAGTAGTAATTTATTCATAGTACTAATTAGCTCTAAAGCCCTTCTACTTCTTTAAAGACTAACAGGTTTTGTTTTGTTTTGTTTTTAATATTAAGAATCTGAGGGTATACTTACCTTTTTAAACAATTTGCAGATTTTTAAGTAGGGCTTGAATGTTGCATCTTCTCTTTGGTATACAATATCTATGTAGTAAATGTGTTTGTTCTGACAAAAGAGTGTAAAAGTGACTACATATCCATAGATAGATATATCCTTTTAAACTGTGTTCATGTGATATAATTTCTCTGGAAGTCTTGGAGATGATAGTTCTCTCATGTTGTTTTTGTACATCATTACCAGTCTTTACTATGTAGAGTTCCACTTTGTTTAAGATAGCAATAATATAAAACTGTACTGTAATGTGTGTAGGGTATGTATTTTCATTGTCCCTCTGCATTTCTATGGTTCCACAGCCTGTGTACTCTAAACTGCAGATTAATGAATTTGACTAAAATTCTATTGTTCACAGAGAAAGGGTTAGGGAGAGGTCAAAAAGAAGAACAATCTTTCTTACTGGGCTATAGAGTTGGGTAGACCAGTAATGTAAAGGTAGACCTATAATGAGCTACACGCTCAGCTGTCTTTTGAGCTTTTTATGTTTTGTTTTTAAACATTTTTGTTTTGGTATCCAGGATCATTCCCAGGGACACTCTACTACTGAGCTATATCCTCAGTCTTCACTACATTGCCCAGGCAGCCCTCAAACTTGTGATACGCCTGCCTCAGCCCCACAAATTGTGGGGATTACAGGCATGTGCTACCAAGCAAGCTTGTTTTAAACAAAGTGTTTATTTTTGGTTTTGTTTGATACTGGAAATTGAACTATTGAATTCAGGGGTGTTTAACCACTGAGCTACATCCCCAATCCTTTTTTCTTTCTTTCTTTCTTTTTTTTTTTTTTTTTATTTAAATCTTTTATTTTGAGACAGGATCTCACTAGAATCTTGATAAGTTTCTAAGTTTGACTTTGAACTTAAAATACTCCTGCCTCAGCCTCTTGAGTCACTGGGACTACATGTATGTGCCACCTTGGCCTAGCAAAGTTTTCTTTAGGCTTTTAATGGAAGCACCTATGGTTTTTCCTGTGTCACTGGGGACTCTTGTAGGTTATTGATGAAATTACACTGAGGTTTAGACAAAACCATATACAGTAAGAGTTGGCCCTGATCCATATAACTAACCTGGAACTTATAAAATGTCAATTTGTTTTGAAGTTTTTCAGGTGGGTGATTACTGTTCTAAAAGAACTTTTTTAAAAGAACAGTAGAAGTGAGCTGTTCTAAAAGAACAGTAGAAATACAACTTTTCGTGACATTTTAATACCTGAATCTAGTATTAAATATGTATTTCTTTACTGTGGACTCCAAATAGTGAATTCTGTGTTTCAGTTTTTGGTGGAGATTGGCTTACTGTTGAGATAAGAGTCTCTTATTTAAATATACACTTGCTGTTTTTAAACTTATCATACCAGAACTAGTTTTCAAAAATCTTATAGTAAACCTGCTTTCATATTGTTCTCTTGAATACCAATGATTTTTTTTTTCTTTTCAACCATTTTCAAAAATTGGCTTCTCAAAAAAGGAAATGAACTTGAACTTCTCAACAGTGAGGATTTAGATTTGATAGAAGGGAAACCTTTGAGAGTGATAATTTGTTAAAGACCAGGATAGGTTACCAAGAGAGAGAGAACTGTTATAACCAGGTCAAAGCACTCTTTTTTCTGGGTCACCCCCTGGGGACATGGAAATAGCTTTGTTATACAGAACTCTTTTTCCATGTGGTGTTAGTTCATTGTAAATAACTTTCTTTTCATAGGGGGTGCTTTAAATATGTTTGTTTCCTGCCTGCTTTTAACTTGCAATATGAAATAAATTTGAGCTCTATAATATTGGGAAAAAGGTGGGAGATGCTTTATTGGCTGATGTTGAGTGCTTTTTCATATTTCACAGCTCAGAGTTGGTGCCTTGTTCTAAGGAAAACCTCATCAATATTGCCCACAGACATATAATTGTCTAGAAGATGATTTAAAGGAGTCCTTGATGTCCATATTTCTTTGCTTCTCAAAAGAAACTATCAATGGATTATTTCTATTAAAGAAAAAGTAATAATCTAGGGCAGATAACCTAAAGTAAAATACATATTTTTTCCTCTCTCATTTCTATTTTTATATTCTTTGTTGACATCTTAGGGCAATGTTTGCCAGGCTGAAGAAAATCAAGTCTTAAGAAAAGGATGAGTAATATTCGTTCCAAGAGATTATACATTGAAGGCAATGTTAACTTGTGAATTTAATCAATTAGTTCCAGTTGGCATATTTACCGTATTGTTTGTAAGGATGCTTCCAAAGACAGCTTCCAGCATTCCCCTGAAAAGCGTAGTTATTCAGGACTAGTCTTTGCATTTCAAGCAGATGAGCATTTTGGAAAACCTTTTCAGGATTTATTAAGTTTTCACTTGAATAATGTCTGTTGAATAGATTTTGGTGTCTTTATAAATTTGTGGAGAGTTTTCTCATATATTAAACACATTAAAAAGCACATCAGAAGTATATCATGGGGAAAAAATAGGGATTGTGATTCAGTAGCTTTGTAATGTGCAGTCCCAGATTTCTAATGCCTCAGTGGCCCTGCAGAGTGACATAGCTTATGAGTTAAGTTACTTACCCTGAAGAGAAACAAACCTTTAAATGCAGTTAATTAGATTAAACAATGCTTAATGAGTGGGTTGTGTTTGAGATCCTTCCTGATCTAGCATGTAGTATTTTATATTGATATATCTTGGTTTTCTATTAGTGAGTTATTTTGGTGATGTGGTGCTTCCCATTGCACCAGTTGGCTAAGTACTTAGATAACCAAATCAGCCTGGCTCAGAGAGCAATATGGCTGGAACTTATAAAGCAAGTGTGCCTTTCTTCATAGGTAATCAGCTCCTCTTCTTAGCTAGATACAGTAGATCATTTCTGATGTTGTTTTATGCAATTTGCTGCATCCCTTTATTAGGATAAAAATTTGAGAATGGAAGATGAGGAAATCTTGGAATAAGTCAAGAATAGTATCTTAAAATCACACCAACATTTATGTGTCCGATAACTTAAGTCAGTATGCAATTTCTTGAACTAAAAATGAAGAGTTCTTATAAAAAGGGTGATAGTATAACTCCAAAAAAACTTACTTGTAAATGTAGATACTTTTAGATAATATGGATTTGGGTTGACTGTTAGGAGTAATATCTTAAGAGCAGTAAATAGTTGTGTAAAATATGTCCTAAAATTGACCCTTACAAAATACTTGAATTAATCAGATTATGGTTTCCATTTATGGTCTTATTATTATTTCCATTTGATTTTAGGAATTTCAAAATTGGCTGTAAAAATTAGCTTCAGGTAAAAACTTGAAGATAAACATCAGGGGGTATTTTTTTTTTTTTTGGTGACTGTTTCTGGGAAAAGTAAGTATGTGAAATGATGCAGAAAATCCATCTAGACAGTTGGGGACTGGCATGATCTTGAGAGGAAGAACAGAGTAGAGATATAACTTTCTGTTAGGGTCCCACTGCCTTATCTTATTTGTCAAAAGAAGGTTACTACTCATATTATTTTACATTTATTTGAGTGGAAATAACAGCTTTTGCAATGAAAATGTATTTTAAGATCATTTTTCATCAATTTTGAATAAAAATGTGGCTAAGAATACTATGGACAAGATTCTAGTTGTAATTCTGGTACATTTGAATACAATTTGGGGATCTGACTTAATAGTTAAGAAATATAAGATTTTAGGAAGTTTTTGTTTCTGACTTTAACCTCTCCCCTTCTCCTTGGCTACTTGGCCCAGTTGAAATCATTGG